TCCTGCTGCTTCCTTTTTCCATTGACTGTGCTCTGCACTAAATGTTAACTGGCAATGCATTACTGGTACAAACAGACTTACCATTTAAATGTTTAACCTTTCACGTCCCTGTGTTAAAATAGTTTTTTACTGAGTGCCCCCTTGCAACTTGGTGATTGACATTCACCAATCTAAACTTTACTCCATTTCTTGGTTTGATTCAGGCTTCAACTTTAATCTTCCCAAAAATTGTTGAGAATATTCTTATTCCAAACTTATTTTGGAAAAACTTAGAAGATAGTAATATTGGGCTGGAGTGCTTCCACCCCACATTATTATTACTACTAGCAAACTGCCCATCAAGAATCACAGGGGGCAAATACATTTTACGGACAGACTGACAAAGGCTCTTATAATATTAGAATTATCATTAACCATTTTAATGTAAGAACGTTGATGAAATCAACAAGGTGGTTGTGTTTTAAAATTGCTCGCGTGTTCTGTTTGAAGCTTGAGGATTCCGGGAGTAGAGTAAATAGCCAGAGGATGTGTGGCAAATTTTTCTTTCGTTCGGTGAGAAGACATTTATTCGGAGGCAAATTTTCTGTTTCCATATGGATATCACTTTATTCATCTCCCGAAGTGGTGGTTGAAGTTTAAGAAATGCTACTTCAAATTACATATTGAATGGGTAACATGACTAGATTGCAATTGCTAAAACATATGCTTTATAAATGCCATATTTTCCCTTGAGAGATGTTTGAGGCTCTGCAATTAAAAAGCAGAAGGCCTAGCTTCTCCCCCCCACTCCCTCTGCCCCCCAAAATTAGAGCCTCTCCAGTCAGAAGGTACACTTGGTGAAGTTACTGTCCCAGTAGAATCATTTAAGTCTTTCAAAGACTTACTGAAATCTCTGTTGTGTAGAACATTGCTCTCTGAACAGTCTTTGTATATTAATCATTAAGAATCACTCTGATTTTCTCAGTTCTGGGAACTTAATTGAGTTCTGGTGAGAACAGGTTGCAAACACCCATATGCTAGCTAATTACTGATAAAAACACTTTAGTCCAGATTTCCTTGTGTAGACCAAGCTTATTTACCGGGTTGATTTCTTAGTCCATCAGCTGATTTTAATTTATCTAGGGTCTTGTTTTGTGAATTGCTTTAATTGTTCAGAATCATTACTTCTGTTGATTTAATTTAGATTTTTTGATGGAGATTTGTTTACTTAGAGCAAATACATTGACAGAATAAAGGCAGGGTCGGAGATAAAATGTAACTTTTTAAGATCAAGAGGATTTTTTTCTAATTGTTAGTAGATTTTAGACCCTCACTAAATACTTTTTCTAATATCTAAGTTCCATCTATATTGAGTTTTTTTTAATAACTTATTCTTTGTGGTAATTCCATTATGTACCTGTTTAAAATACTTACGATTATTTTCTTTCTTCCTTTAGGCTACCATTACCATCAACCCTCCAAGATGAGTAACAGTCACCCGCTCCGTCCCTATACTGCCGTGGGTGAAATTGACCATGTTCACATTTTGTCAGAGAATGTCGGTGCTCTAATGAATGGGGAGGAGTACAGTGATGTTACTTTTATTGTAGAAAAGAAACGTTTTCCTGCACATAGAGTAATCCTGGCTGCTAGGTGCAATTATTTCAGGTAAAGTATAGCATCTTGTCAGGTCTACAGAAAGCTTTAATACATATGAACTATATACTGAAAAGTTCATAAAGAAACAGTCTATAATTACCTATCCATTGAACATGACCTTTCTTGTGCAAATGCTTCCAATGCATCAAAACGTTGTGGCCAGCTATAAAAAGATAGAAAAATACCATGTCATCCTAATGTTTTTGACCTTCATTAAATTGGACTTTCAAGTTATTTCACAGATTTAAGAGGAAATAAACTTCACAACATAAAGAAGATGGTGTAAAGTTATTGGTGATGTTCTCTCAAAGTAAAAGTATAAGTCCAAATAACACATTTGGGCACAACGTATTGACGTGCAACTGGATGTTTGAAAAGATATCTGCTGTGTTATGAAATAGGAGACTACTATTCGTTTTAAAAAAGGGGATTGAAATAACCTAAAATTTAGGCCAATAATGCCAATCTTTTTATCCATTCTTAAAATAGATCTAATAAAATTTTGAACAATTGTTCTTTCATACGAGTATTGTCAGAGGGGCTAAGCTAAAATCTAGATGTGTAGTATGCTCAAATTCACTATCTAGTGAAAACATTGTTAACCCTTAGATTCTTTTTCAATTTTATCAGATATGATTTCAAGGCTGTCCTATGCCATGGCCAGAACAAGGGACAGGGGATCCAAACTCCAGAAATCTATCATCAGTTCTGCCCCCTCTCATAGTACAATCTTGGGCGAGTTGCTTTACCTGTTACTGCTTCCCCAATTTTCACTAGACACTTACAGGCACAACTAAAGACATTAATTTGGTCTGAAATGTCTTTATTTATTGATAGTGATGTATGAGTAGCAATGAATCTGCCTTAACTCCCAGGCTGAGTTTTCATAGTTACAATTTACTTGCAAACTGAGCAAATCTGATACAGACAAACAATGGAGATATGATGAACAAGAAACTTTGGCATGACACTTTGACACACCTGTGCTTAGAGAAGAGCTGTAGTTGTATTCAAAAGAAGTTTCCATTTCTTACTTGCTAAGCCAGTCTTCCTCTGTTTTATGTTGTTTCTTCAAAGATCTGTTAAATGTAATATAATTTATTCTTTTACCTGTCAGTTGGATATGGATAAAATCTAGGATGTTTAGTGTGTTGGCTTTTATATAATGAAACACCTTTTTGTTAGGGCATACATTTCTTACATTCTCCCTTTCTCTCTATTTTGGTTTTTTTTTTTTAAATTTTTTTCTTTAGAGCATTATTATATGGTGGAATGAGAGAATCTCAGCCAGAAGCAGAAATCCCTCTTCAAGATACTACTGCAGAAGCATTTACAATGTTGCTGAAATATATCTATACAGGCCGTGCCACACTAAGAGATGAGAAAGAAGAGGTGCTCCTGGACTTCCTGAGCTTGGCTCATAAATATGGGTTCCCAGAGCTGGAGGATTCCACATCTGAATATCTTTGCACCATACTTAACATTCAGAATGTTTGCATGACATTTGATGTTGCCAGTCTCTATTCACTTCCCAAATTGACTTGTATGTGTTGTATGTTTATGGATAGAAATGCTCAAGAGGTACTCTCTAGTGAAGGGTTTCTGTCTCTTTCTAAGGTATGTTTTCAAATTCATGTTCTTCTGGTCTTCTTGGTTGTGGTCTCTAACTTTGTGATAAAATACTATAGGGACTGAAAATAGAGTCGGTTAAGTCACAGGAAGCTCTTTACTATAGTAAGGTCATTTAGTAGTGAATTTGTTATTGCTGGAGGTATTCAGGGTAAGGTCAGATGAAGAATGAATTACACTTTTATATAATTCTGTACAAGTAAGTATTGTGGTACAGGAAGAATGAGAGTGTGGGGATTCATTCTGAACCTGCTGCCTATCACTTCTGGATTTTTGACCAATAACAGAAGTTAAATATACCACATTTACTCTCATACCACATATCCTCCTTCCCCAAACATTAGCCCTCCAAAAAAGGGGTGCATGTCGTATGGGGCAGTCGATATGTCTTCACTGGAGTGGAAGCATGGAGGAGTAGAAGCGTGGAAGCATGGAGGAGTAGAAGCAGGGAGATGCATGGCTACCATAAAACTAGCATTACCCTTCAGGGTCAGAACTGTCTTGTTAACTGTTTTGCAGTTACTGTTTTACAGCTGCTGCTTTCAACACTGAGCTGTGACTAAAAAAAAAAATCCCGCCCCCCCCTTCGGAACAAAGGCCATGTCTTATTTGGGGGCATGTGGTATGTGAGAAAATACTGTGTAACCCTAGCAATGCACTGTTAAGGGTAGGAGCAGACAGATTTCCTATTTTTGTACATGTTTTCTTACATGTTTATGAATTCTGTGCTGCCTTTGAAACCATCTTATCTGGCTTCTGAAGACTGTCCAAAGAGTACACAGTAAGGTTTGAGGGAGGAAAGTGAAATGTGGTATGACACTTATCTTTGTATTCATTTTACTCATATTAGGCCCCCTGTATGTAAGACTATCCCATTAGTGCAAGTGATAGCAGCCTGCAGGGTGCTCTGATTTGCACCCTGCAGGCTGCTGTCACTTATATTAATGAGTCAGTCCTATATACGTTAGCTTTGACTTACACTACTGGGGCAATTGGCAGCTAGCTGAAACTGTGATAGTTTACCACTGTAGTCTGGGGAGATGTGGTTATGTCCCTTGTCCTCTGCTCACACAGTTTACATGGTCTATTAGAAGTAGGTATGGGAACATGTATGTAGGAATGTATGGTAGGCTCTGTGTCCCTGGAGGGTACCTAAAAGGATATCCAGTCCTTCCAGGACAGGATACATCAGCAATCCAGCATCTATCGCATTCATCCACCTCAGTCTTGTCATGAGCTGAGCTTGAAGTAGCAGAAAAAAAATTGTGAGAATGCAAACTTGTTTTAAGCTTCCAAAGGATGTTTATAAATGTGCATTAAAATTAGTATCTGAAAACATATCTGAGGCCCTTTTATAGTAAAAATATACCAACCTTCTGGCAGTTTTAATAAGAACATCTGTTTTTTGAATAGGTATGAGATTCCTTGCAGAGCTGATTAACTTAGTAGCTGGTTAGGGAAATTTTAATTGGGTCCTCTCCTGATGCTATACTTTTGACTGTTAGCTACTTCATGTCGTATGTAATATGGCAACTCTGAGTGCATTGGGGTTAACACCAGGGTGAGTGGAAAAAGATCAATGGGGTTAAGTTTCAGGAAGGCAGGCACCAGAGGAGGGAGGGTGGTAAGCAGTAGTGGGGCAAGTAGCAGCAAGGCAGGCACAAAAAGCTAAGCAATGGGTGAATCAGGGGAGCGGGTGACAGGGTGAGTCACAGGGAGTAAATGAGGGAAGCAAAGCACTTGGGTACAAGAAGTGAGGGTCAGACTGCCTGCCCTGCTACCACTTGCACCTGCCTCTTCCCTGCTTTCCCCACCACTTGTCACCCTGCTGCTGATTTCCTACTGTAGCGGGAGGGGGTGGGATGGGATGAATTTAAGGTGACCCTCCAAAAATTTGATTCTAGACATGGAAAATTAAAACAGCTTTATAATTTTCTGGGTCTGGAGTCTAAGGGGTGGGGGGAGGAGGTTGCATTAAATTTAAAGTCATCTTGGATTTGGGTAAATAGGGTAATTTTTATAAAGTGTTTGAATACGCTTTAGGGGTGTAGGTTGTAGCCGTGTCGGCCTAAGGACATAGGCAGACAAGGTTCCTTGGGTGAATCTGATATGTTTTATTAGACCAACCCAAATAGTTGGAGAATAGTTATTAAGCAAGCTTTCGGGTTCAAAAACCCTTCATCAGGCTAAGGAAGTTTCAGCAGTTGGTGTGTGCTCTTCCTGGATGGAATGAAAAGTAAAGAAGCCAGAGGCTGGGCTGGGGAGTAAGTTGCCAGGCAAGACGCTACAGACTTTCTATGGAAACTTAAAAACATAGACCACCTTCCCAGCAACACGCTCCTAGCCACCATGGACGTTACCAGCCTATATACCAACATCCCATACCAGGAATGACATCCAAGCCTGTCTTATATAGCTACAGGAACAAGATTAAAACTCAGAATACAGACAAAGATATTACTGACCTTATACACTTCATCCTCACACACAACAATTTCACTTTTAATAATCAACACTTCCTGCAGTTGATGGGAACAGCTATGGGCACCAGAATTGCCCCACAGCATGCCAACCTTTTTATGAGCCACCTGGAAGAAGACTTCCTCAAGAACTGCACCATCAAACCCTTGCTATACTTAAGATATATCGATGACATCTTCATCATTTGGACTGAAAACCTACAATCTCTGATTGAGTTCCATCAGAAATTCAACAATCACCATCCCTCCATCCAACTTTCTCTAGAATACTCCAGCACCAGCATCCCCTTTTTAGACACAATGATCAGTATCCAGAAT